GCCGCCGCCGCCGCCGCCGCCTCCGGGCAGCCCGCGACCCAGCGCGTCTTCGGCGCGCCCCAGCAGCGCGGCGTGCGGTTCGAAGGCGGCGGGCGGCAGCAGCTTGTCCCCGGCCAGGTGGCCCGGCGCGCCGTAGGCGGCCAGCGGCGGCGGCGGCGGCGGCGGCGGCGGGGGCTGCGGCGCGCCGTGCAGCGCGGGCGGCAGCGCGTTCGGCAGAGGCGACAGCGGCGACCCCATGGCGGGCAGCTCCTTGCCATAAGGCCCGTAGAGGTGGCCCACGGAGGCGAGCGCCGCGCGCTCGTCGCGCATGAGGGTGAAGCTGCCGCTCACGCTGGCAGCCAGGCGCTGCGGCGGGGGCGGCGGGGGCGGCGCGGCCGCCGGGTGCGGGTGTGCGTGGGGGTGACCGCCGTGCGCCCCGGCCACCGCCGCGGCCGCTGCGTGCTGGTGGAACTTGTCGGCCACGGCCGCGAGAGGCGGCAGGTGCTGCAGGGGCGTGAGCGTCGTGTAGGTGCCGCCCAGGCCGGGCGCCTCACAGGCCATGCCCATGGCCGGGTGCAGCGGGCCGGCCAGCTCCCCGCGGAAGTCGGCGCCGCCACTCGCGCCGCCCGTGCCGCCCGCACCCCCGCCCCCGCCGCCGCCGCCGCCGCCGCCGCCGTCCAGCAGGCTCGCCATGCCGGCCACCAGGCCCGGGCGCCCGGCCGCCACCAGGCCGCGGTGCTGCGCCGCCGCCGAGCGCGCGTGGCCCGGGCTCAGCAGCTCGCCCGCCTGCGCGTGGGCCACGCCGTGCAGGCCCCCCAGGCTCTCCAGGCTCAGCTCCATGCTCGGCCACTCGCCCGCCGCGCGCGCTCCTCGGCGCCGGCCCGGCGCGCTCAAGGCCGCCGCATGGCCCCCGCCCCGCTCCCCGGTGGCTGCGCGCGAGGCTGCCCGGCTGCGAGCGCGGCCACCAGGATGTGGCGGGGGAGCGGCCGCCGGCGCCCGGGCCCGGGTCTGACGTCAGCACCCCCGCCCACCCGCTGCCCTGGCCGCCGCCTCCCGCCGCCTCGCTCTCCGCCCGCTCCGGCCCCCTCGAGCGCCAGGCCAGCCGGAGTGGGCCAGACTCGGGCTTCTGGGGTCCCCTGCCTCGGTGCCCGCCCGCGCCGCCGCCCACCCCCACCCCCCCCCCCCCCCCACCCCCGCCCCGGGGCCCAGCCCTGAGCGGGCTCAACGGGGCCCTCATCTCTGCCTCTCTTTTTCTGTGTCTCTCCCCAGAGGGTCACGAAGGTTCCTTTCCCGCCTGACGCCCCCCCCCCACAGCCCATCTCCAGGGAGTGGGTAGCAATGTGGCTGGGTGGGGGCCTGCCATCTACCTGCTCCCCTCCTCCACTGGCGTGCACACCGACCCCAGGAGGCAGATCCTCTGTAAGCTCAGCTTCCCCTAACCGGGCACTCTACACGGAGTCCCGGCCCCCTTCCCACCTCTCTGGGGGGCTGTGGTGCTGAAAAGCCAGGTCCTCCTCGGGCTGGGTCACGGCCTGTTTGCCCCAAATGTCTGGATCTGCTTCCAGGTGTGGGCTCCTGGGCCTCAGTTTCCCCAGCTGTACAGTGGAGCACCTGTCCTCAGGGGTGCCAAAGGTACCTCCCACTTCCGCCTTCTTCTAGTTTCCTCTATCCCCAGCGTGGGGTGACCCTTAAAGAACCCCCATCCTCTTCCAGAGACTGCGGGCGGAGGACACGTGCTCTCTGCTCCCTAAGAGGCCCCTGCTTCAAATGCCAGGGTTTCTCTTTTCGGTGGGGAAGCGAAGGTGCTCCTTTTCCTCACCACCTGGAGACAGTTGAGGCCCAGGGACCCCTGGGAACTGGGAGAAACAGGGAGCCTCCCACACTCAGAGAGACATCCCCTTCTATGATCCCTCCAGTGGGGTAAGATGCACCCATGTGACCAGGCCAGACCCCAAAGGGTGCCCTGCCTTGAGGCCAGAGTCGGGGAGGGAATCCCCAAATCAACCCCACCTCTTCCTCCTTCCCCAGATCATCAGCCCCACAGGGTAACCTTTGGGGGGAAAACTAGCGAGGCCTCTGCCAAAGCGCCCCCCCCAATCACCCCCATCTCAGCAGGAGGACCTGGGGTGTAAGCTGCCAGGGGAGAGAAGACCCTAGCAGGGAGCCATCCCCCCTGCTCCAGGCAAACGGCTGGCCACCCCTCCCCCCACCTTCAGCACCACCCTCCTCCCCTGTGGATGTGGACCAGCTACTGAGATTGGCCCCTGCGCAGAGCCCTTTGTGTCTGTTTTCCCTTCCACGATGGGGAGGACAGTGCTTTCCCGCCTGCCCTAGCTTTGAGCCAGAGGCACCACTGTGCTGACCACCACAGGGGGAGAGGGAGGGGTGCTGTCTCCAAGCACAAGGAGGCTGGGGGGCCTGGATGATCAGGAACCCCAGCTTGGAGGGGTCAGACAGTGGAACGGCCTCATCCAAGTCCTGGGGCCGGATGGGGTTAAAGGGGACCCCGGTCAGTGCTTTGTGTTTAGGACTCAGCATTTAGTAGCCACCTACTGTTTACCAGGCACACACTCTCTCCTCACCCAGCCCTGAGGGGGAGTCAAGCCACCATTTTCCAAGTGCCTTGGGCCCAAGGTGGAGAGTGCCATGGCTTGGCTTGCCCTTGGTTCCTAGGAGCTGTGTGAGTGCTAACACTCCCCCAGGTCCAGGTCCATGGGCTTTTCCATTCCGGGGTTTCTATGTAATTCCAGGTTATATATTATCACACCCATCTTCCAGGTGGGAAGACAGAGAGGGGAGAGGGGCAGGTCCAGACAACTGAATATCCCCCTCCCCCGTGCAGATTGAGCCTAGGAGGTGGGTTTGACAGTGCTGAGCCCCAGCCGGAGCCCCCCAGTCCTACCCTCCAACAATCACAGGTAATTAAAAATAATCGTGGGATCTAAAAATCAATCAGCCTCCATAAAATGATCACATCCCAGGCCCAAGAAGTGCAGCTCAGGCGGGCGGAGGAGTCAGGGTGGGAAAACAAAGGTGGAAGGAAGTACCCCCAAATGTCCACCCAGGGGTACGCCATGGGGGTCCCGATCATGCAGCCTTTTGCTTCCTTCTTTATATATTTTCTCTGGCTCGATTATCACTTCATTTTTATAACAAGCATGTGTGGCTTTTCTAACGAAGAAAGGCGTCCATTTTAAAAGAAAAGACTCCAGCCAGTGGCTTGGAGACTGAGCCCCCTCCTCTCTGCGGCCTCCGGACACCCCAAGCACCTGGACTCGGCAGGGCCAGGGCCGTCGGCCCCGGGCAAGCAGCCCCCGCCTCCTTCGCGCTGGCCTGGACTTGGACTCCCTCGGGGAACAGGGTTCTCGCTCCCCACAGAAGCTGCGCTCCTACCGGGAGATTGAACAGAAATTTGCGGGCATCCAGGGAGGAGGCCCCCTGGAACCCCTGAACCGGCTTCCCCCACCAGCGGCCTTTTAGTAATTAGTAAAATAGAATTGAGCCGGCTACGGGGCAGGCGGGTGGCTCGGGCCCTGATCGATCTTGGGTCATTAGGCAAATTGCGGGCGGGGGAGCGGTGGGCTGGATGGGGGCAGGGAGACCCCCATCCTCGCTCCTACCGGGACCTTGGCCACGTCGCGGAAGCTCTCCGGCCTCAGTATCCCCCCGCAGAAAAATCGGAGATCCACCCTGAGACCCCGCGTCTGCGCACGCTGGGCTGCCCCCGGCCGACGCCCACCCTCTCTGTGCCCAGCTCGGACCTCCTCCGCACTCGGGGAGCCCAGCAGTCCCTGCGGCTTCAACTACACCTCCCTCCCAAGCTCGAAACTCTCCTGTAATCAAGTGTCGTCCATCTCCTCTCCCCTGGTTCTGGCTCCGCATCGCAGAAAAAAATGGAGGGATCCCCAAGGTTTTCCCTTTCCTGGCCTCCCCTAGGTCCCTCCACGGTCCGCGGCTGATTTTGTGATTCCGTGTGTCCTCACGGAAATGGAAGTCACCGGCCGCTGCGCACCCCTGTTTTTATTAGAGCAAGGTTTTAAGAAAGAGTGGCGATGAATAACCCCCCTCCAGCCCCACCGAGCCTGACATCCGCGCCGGCCCCCAGTTCCAGTCCCCCAAACCTGCGGACGCCCCAAATCCTGGCCGGCGCGCGCCTGGTAGGCCCGCATCCTCCCGCCAGACTTCGGCGCCTTCGTTCGGGCGGGGTCAGAGGACTTTATTTATTTTGCGGGGAGGGTGCCAGGCTTCTCAGGCCTGCCGGGGATCCTGGCGGGGCTGCGCGCGCGGTGCGCGGAGGTTCCACTTTCGGACCCTGGGAGCGGAGACATTCCGAGGGCCGGAGCTGGGGCGCCACGACGTTGGGGCTTCGCCCCTGGCGGGCCGGACGTCCCGAGCTTCTCGCCCGCAGTCGGCGGCGCCCGGGGGCGCTGGCCCGGGGGGTGGATGCTCCCCGGGCGTGTCAGCGACAGCTGCGCTCGATCGATCCCCGCGCCCGCCCGGGCTCCGTTGCCCCCGCCGCAGCGCGCGGCTCCATCGAATCCTCATCGCTCCCGGGCCGCGCCGCCCGCCGCGCTCTCGGCAAACACGGCTCTTGTTTGCGCGGGGGCACCGGGGCTGGGCATTCGCGGGGCGCGGGTGTGTGTGTGTCCCTGGGGCCCGGGGTCCTTGTCCCCTCCCCTGGCGGCCCGGCCTCCGGCGGCCGGGAGTTACAAAGACACAGTTAGTGGAGAGAAGTCTCCCCCCACCCCACCACCACCACTATACTCTGGGGTGGGCGGTCGAGGCCTGGCCGGGGAGGAGCCGCCGGGCGCCCGGACCGCCGTCTCCGCCTCAGTTTCCCCATCTGGAGAGTGACCCGCAGGGGCTGAGGGATCCCAGGGCGCCCGAGGTCTGCTCGCTCCTCTCCCTCCTCCTCCACCTGCTTTCGCTTCCTCTGCGCGCCGCCAGCGCGGCGCAGGTCCGGAGCCGGGCCGGAGGCTGAGCCTGGGACGACCCGGTTGTAAAAAGGGTGAGGCCCAGTTGGAGGCTTAGCCAGAGGGGGCCGGGGGCACGAATGTGTCCCCCTACGTCAGGCCCCGACCCCTCTTCTCTCGGCTTTGTCGAGATCACCCCTCCTCCTTCATGAGCTAGTGAGGAGACTACGAGTCTGCCCAGCAGTGAGCAGTCGGGGAAACTGAGGCCAGGCCCGCAGGACGCGGGTTGCGGTCTTCCGGAGGATGGGGGACGGGGAGGCGGCGGGCTGGGCAGCTGGAGGACGCCCCACTGCCCAGCTCCGCTGACCGCTTGCGGCCCGGGCGCTGCCGGCGGAGGACTTCCCCGGCGCAACGAAACCCGCGTCAGGCGCGCGGCTCCGGAGGGGCCCGAGAGCCAGCCCCGCCGCCAAGCTCCGGCCTTCGGCGGCTGAGCGAGACCCCCGCCCCCTCGCAGCCCCGAGCGCCCTCTGGTCCTCCCCCGAAGGGAGGTTCCTTCAACAATTAAAAATGTAAATACATATGTTTAATCCACAATGCTCTCTGCCTCGCAGAAAGGGGCGTGCGGATCCCAGAGCCGGGGGTCAGCGGGGCGCGGCGGGTGGGTTTGTGGAGGCTCGGGGCTGGCCTCCCCCCACCCCCCGGGCCGGGCTGCATCCGGGCGGCCCTCGGGGCGCTTTCAGGAGCCGCCTTGGCCCGGAGCCCCAGCATGCTGGCTTTGACACCCCGGAGCTTGCGGCCACAGACACCCCCCTTCTGCAGGGGACGCCGCTCGGAGGCTGGGAGGACAGGCCTGGGAGAGCGCCCACCTTCCAGACGCGGAGACGGAGGACCGAGCCGGGAGTGAGGACGACGCCCCTCCTGCTCGGG